TCGTTATTTTGGTCCGAGAGAGGAGGGTTGACTACTTTAACGTGTAGACTATTATAGCCTCATGTTATTGAAGTTATTTCATAGATAGCGCTTTGCAGTCCCTAGCTTTACTTTCAGCGCCGTAACTGAGGTAATCCACGGAACAGACATCCTTCCATTGCTGGAAATTTTCCCTGCGAAAAGGCTATCTCTCTTTGTTTTGTCGAGTTCTTTTTTTGTGAGGTGCGGAGTGCCCTTTTTCTCGTTGGCCTTTCTTACCGAGCATCTTCTTCCTAGTTCATTTGACTCTCATAAGTGTTCGCTTCTTCTTAAACTTGAAGTGAAACACACCCTCAAGTTAGGTTAGGTTTTTGACCCTAATTTTTCACAAGATTTTACTGTAGGGTTTTAAGAATACTAGACCAAAAATTTCACTCCTCCCTCGATTAATTTTTGCGTTACCATCTTTATGAACGAACGCGGAGGAAAAGGAATCTGCTGCTAGCGCGGGAAGCTCACTGGCGCCTACAAACCTAAGTGGATACTTCACGCATTGCACAATGCTAGAAGTATCCAGTTAGGTTTGTAGGCGCCAATGCGCGCTGACCGCCCGCCCGCCGTGCGGTGGCGCCCAAAGCAACTATTTCACAACAAAGGTGTTGCACAGTACCTATTATACGAAATTGAACGTATTAAGAATGACAGGCATCCTCTAAAAGTACAGATCTTTCCTCGCAAAATAAATTAAGATACTTATCGTACACAGGAAAAATCTAAGAGCCTTTAGCTGAGGCAAATACAGAGGTTTATCCGGTTCAGGTATAATAAGGTGGGAATTTCTTGAAAGATAAGTAAGTCCTGTTTCACCAAAGAGGTGTAGAGAATTTTAGTGAATTTTTTCTCATGGAATTGACGCTTTCCCATTTTTACCAAAACTCTCAACTATATATTATTCTCCGTTGGACCAAACAGAAAAAACAAAAAAACAAGCAAACCCTCATTCTTCCGAGACATTATACATTTTCATCAAAAAACGTCGTGAGCAATTGTCGTTTGTATTTACAACGTTGTCGTTTTTGTGGGACAATTAACTTTGGGTCTCAACTGGCACGTGGACCAAAACTCCCGTGCTGAAAAAACGCGTGGACGTAAATTACTGGAAAAAACAGGTGCGCGGACAAAAAATCGTTGACGAAATGTCCTACATATAACTCTCCTGATGTCACTACCATTTTCTTGTGCGTCTTTTTCGTATCCTCCAAGAAGATCCCGATCAAACATCTTTACGGGCAGCCTTCCTTGGTCATACGATTAACATGACCACACCAGACTAATTGTTTGGTCTTGACGTCAAATATGACGTCATCTATCGTCGAAAGCACTCGATCATTACAAACTGGACCCTCTTAGAATCTAGAAATCCCTGTAAGCCTCCTCCAGAGATCCACCTGAGGCCAAATCCAAAATCCATCTAAATCGGTTATCACTAAACTTAAAATTCGTCGATCCAACATGAACTCGTGCCGCGGCCACGAAATTAGTCCGTTGAGGTGTTCATTTTTGCAGTTGGTTTCCAGAGAGGTGTGTGTACACGTGTTCTTAATGTGTTTTGACTCGTCTAGACACGACGCGACTATGGCAGTGCATGAAGACGGTCATTGAGCGAAAGTCTCATCATTAATCAAGAGCATTCTATTAGCGACACGCGTCGTGACCGTCTTGCTCATCCCAGTTCACCGGAGGTGTCTGAATTCAGAAGAATTCTCTCGTGCACGCTTCTCTTCGCTTCATTATACCGGACGGAGGAAGTAATGATCTATTTGAGGGATGTGTCTTTACCCTAATAGTCGGGAAGCATCAACTTAAAATAGGCGTTTACTCGAGGTACCTTTATTGTTTGAAGGGAGCCTCGAGTTGATAGAGAAGAGAAGAGAGATGATATGTGATAGAGCGAGGCAAAATTGATTGCATTTAACAGTATTGGGGAAACAAATCGATTTCCGTGTCGCAAAAATCGTGCATTTTCATCTTAATCTATAAAAATAATTGCCTAAAATAGCGAATTTTTTTGGTTTTTTAATCAATCATTGTTAGTTTTTTTTTTTAAAAAAACGGTCCCGATGATTTTATTACACATATTATTTAATTATGTTTATTTTAAATATTTAAGTTCAAGGAGGAGTTAAGAGGATAATAGTTTTCGGTGGTCCTGTGGCACTTTCCAGGACGATTTGATAGTCAAATGATCAATGAATAAAATCTAGATTATAGTGTATTTATTAATAATTTCCCAGCATCTTGTCGCGCTGCTGAAGTACGTTAGGTACTCGCGCACAAAATTTAATCAGGGAATTCCTTGAAATAACTCCTAAAATACCTCTCGAGTGAACATCGCAAATCGTTTCATCTTCCGATTCGAAGTATTCAAATTATATGCGCAGATACTTGTGGGCTGATTAATAAAACTAATAGACAAAGCTATAGACAAAACAGACAAATGGAAAATGGAGCGAACCTATCGGTGGAAGTACGTAGTTGCGATAGGCAAAGTACGAAAAAAATAGACTAACTAACGGCAACCCACGAGCGGCCCTTTAGTCTATAACAACCACCCATTTCAACCAATGGGATTGTACCATTTTTTCTTTGTCTTTTTTGTCTATAAATCTAAATACGTAACTCGCTGGCGTTTTACAGCGTGATGTGATGCACAAAAGCTCAAAAAAAATGTCATAAAATCCGGACATAATCAGTTAATCGATCAATATCGAGTCATTCTCTAAAGCCAGCATTATACACGATTAAAGTAGAGCTTTCTTTAATTTCTCACTCAGTTGTGCACAACATTTCATGAAAATTTTATAGATGAGATGTATGATGTGTCCCGAACCCATCCCTCACCTTTTAGATTGTCGGGCCGATGACCTTTAGAGGCTAACAGTCAACAATGCCATCGATGCATGAGCCTCTTTAGGTCCAGTTACACGATCAAATTGAGCCATCAAATTGGGCCTCTCATTGGTCGCATCAGGTCTTTTTCCACCAATCAGAGCTTCAATTTGATGGCTCAATTTGATCGTGTATATAACTGGACCATTTGAGGGCTCTACTTTGATCATGTGACGCCGGCTTAAAATGCTGCTGATCCCCTTGAATATATTGTCTCGGGTCGGAACCGGGGAATTGGGATGAGGATGGAAACGGAACGGCAAGTTGGCGCGTACGACGGTCGCCGCTGAGACCGGGTGACACAACCGGGGCAGTCGGGGCCCAGGACGAAGAGCCTGAGCCTTGGCCTCATTGCACTTTGGAGTCACGGCGGGCCCCGGTCCCGGATAATCCATGAGAACTGAAACCAAGCCAGATCCGAGATGTGCGAACTTCGATGTTCGCTCTTTTGTCGGCGACGGCGTCGCCCTACTTTTGTCACATCCCTCCCCGACGTTTTCCAGTACCTAAGTCCAAGTCGATTCAACCTATATTTTATTCCTCTTTATCGAGTGGGAATGGACCACTAGACAAGGTACGAATTTAAGCATTCTGATACATGTTACTTATCCAGAATTACACGTAGAACACGATTCGCGCAACTAAAATTACTGAAACCAACTCCTTACGGTGATATTAACATTTTCATTTTACATTGGTTACGAGGAATTTGAACTGGCCGCTCACAAGAAACTCAAAGCTCTACGTGCGTCAAATCGCGCACTACAAAAATTTCAGCAAGCTTCTCAATCGAGCACTGTTCATTTCCCACCACGTGTTTTTCAAACAATAAGCAATTTGCTATAGCTGAGCCGAAGCGTCAAGATTGAGGTTGCCAGATTTTTATATCGCAGCGAATGTCATATAATTGTTTAGCGCGCGATGTGAATCACGTATAACATTGAGTTTTCATGAGCGGGTGGTTTGAATTCACGCACCAAGAATCATTAAATATCTTCGTATGGAGTTGATTTCGGTAATTTTCGTTGTGCGCAACGTGTTTTACGTGAAATTTTGGTCAAGCAGTATGTATCGGAATGCTGAAATTCGTACCTTGTCTAGGGGTCCATTTTCTTCGTTGCAAGCAGCACAGCGTGCATTCTTCAACAAATTTAATTCTTCAAGCCCAAATTTTCATATTTTATCACTGTTTTATCCAAATACAAAAACCTGAAGTGATGGCCAGAATATTTCTCCAACTCAGGGCTATAGGACATTTCGTCAACGATTTTTTGTCCGCGCACCTGTTTTTTCCAGTAATTTACGTCCACGCGTTTTTTTCGGCACGGGAGTTTTGGTCCACGTGCCAGTTGAGCCCCTAAGTTAATTGGCCCACATGTAAATACAAACGACAATTGCTCACGACGGTTTTGGATGAAAATATATAATGTCTTGGAAGAATAAGGGTTTGCTTGTTTTTTTGTTATGTCTGTTTGGTCCAACAGAGAATAATACATACAAACCTCTATATTTGCCTCAGCTAAAGGCTCTTAGATTTTTCCTGTGTACGATAAGTATCTTGATTTTTTTGCGAGGAAACATCTGTACTTTTGAAGGATGCCTGTCATTCTTAATACGTTTGATTTCGTATAATACTGTGCAACACCTCTGTTGTGAAATAGTTGCTTTAGGCGCCGCCGCACGGCGGGTGGGGGCGGGCGGCCAGCGCGAAAAGCGCATTGGCGCCCACAAACCTAAGTGGATACTTCAAGCATTGACAATGCGTGAAGTATCCCCTTAGGTTTGTAGGCGCCAGTGAGCCTCTCGCGCTGGCAGCACGCCGCTCCGCTCTGTTAAGCTTTAATATTTATACTCGCATAGTTAGCGTTTTTTAATTCATGATTTTGAAATGTTAGCACACTCTGCATTGATTATTCTCATTTAAATTTATGGGAAAAAAATATGTATCAATTTATCAAAGGAGAATAATAATATAATGTGTGTTTTTTAAAATATTGGTGGTTCCGTGTCAAATTTAATGATTTCCAAAGCACTTTAATTTCTTATTTTACATTTTGTGCTTTTATTGTACAATGCTACCACCACCACCATACCACCCCACTACACCCACACCCACCCACCCACCACCAGCCAGAGTAGAGTAGTGGAAGCCATTCCACTACACTGCCGTGCTAAGGAAGAACGCCGTATGAGACTTCAGACGTTGCCAAGTTGCCTTCGATAATAACTTTTAATATTGGAAAAATTATGAATATTTTATTTCAAAATTTTCAGACAATTTTTTACGCAATTTAATCTAAAATATCTGGAAATTTCGAGGAAAAGCGTCCATGAATGTCGTTAAAAATACTTGTTTCATCAAGTGAAATTTGGAAACTCTCGAATGTTCATACGGCGTTCTTCCTTGGCACGGTAGTACAGCAGGCCGCCCTTCTTTGGGGAACGACTCTTCCATTGAGAATTTAAGGGTCGTTTTCTACCCTCGCATCGTGTTTTGTAATGATCAAAACAATCTTTCTGCGTGATTATACCCTCGATTTTCACGAATTTGATTTCAGGGAGCTCGGTTGGCGATGCCAACGAAGGATACGTTGCCGCTAGTGGCTGAGGAATTGGGCGCTGCCTCTTTTGTTGAGTCTCTGGACGATGGCGGAGGGGAGAAGAAGTCGGAAGGGGACGGCGAAACCGAGTCTGCATCCAAACGCGTCATCAGGAAACTCGCCACAGGAACCACCGACGAATTGGACGCCAGCACAGAGCTCCAAGAATATCAAGGTTCGCATCGCTCTCTAACAATATCAGAAAGCTTTCTTATTTTAATCAAGTTTTAAACACGAGAGCTCCTCACACTGCACATCTAAACATTCTTTTCAGTCACGGTCAAAATCTGAAACTTCAGCAACTTGATTTTTGTCGATTTTAGTATGTCCCTAAGTAGCACAGTGCAACGAATATATTGAAATTAAATTGAAATGTGATTTCAATACTCTTGTAATTTATTAACCATTAAATTGCAATATTTTTACATCATTTAGTCGATTAATGTCGATTCGAAACAATCAAAAGAATGAACTCCATGTGTCAGAAATATAGGCAATAAGCAATGCAATGAAAAATTGCAACTTATTTCAATTTCATTGTAATAAGTTTCAATAAATCGGGCCCCTTCAAATAGGAGCTAGGCAACATACACAACGCTCAGTTGAATTGCAATATTTTCACTATGTAATTGCTACTTACTGCAATCTTACCGGTTGTAGCTGGTAACATGTCCAAAAGTATCGAAGTACATTTTTAAAGTAAAATCGTCGTCAACCGCGACTGATGTGGCGTGCAGATTTTATGCCTTATGTTGGTTTTGTCCGTCTATCACCAAATTTTTCAAAAACAAGTCAGATTTTATTTGTACAGTTCTGTTACAAACCTTAGTACCTAAACGCATCCTCTTACTTCTAAAAGTTTAATAATACCCGCACAGTTTCATTTCTTCAGCAAAAAATAACATTATTTTGAAATAATTTTATCTCCTGTTTTTTCAGGGGTGATTGGTCGACCTGGAGTTGACTTTCCTGTATTACAAAGTATACCGATTACGGATTTCAGCTGCCGGAAAGTGAGGAGTTCTGGGTACTATGCTGACTTGTCGACAGATTGTCAGGTATGTTATAAATATGGCGACGATCCGAGGACAAAGTGTAGTACAAACTATACCTACGTATACTCCTCGTGCGTCGACATGTAATTCGTTGTTTCTCTTACGTATCTACATTTCAATGTGCAAAATTTACTGGCGCAAATTGCAATTTTATCACAGGAATTTTGGGGATTTCTAAATGAGAATTTCACAAATTTTTCCTCTGATCCCATGCAAAATTCAGACAAATTTTGAGACGACGAAAACTATGCTGGCCCATTTTCGTAAAAATGAAGGATTTGGATCAATTTTGAAACCTTTGAATGGAGTTACGTTCCTTCGTGCGGAAAACGACGAATTTTAATTGGTCGGGAGATATTGTTTTTATAATTAAGATATACAGCTTTTCGTATTTTGATGAGAATTTTATCAATTAATCTCCCAGAGATCGCTTCAAGCGCGAGAGATTCAACGATATCAATGGCAAACGTGCAAAACCATGTATGGGCGTTTACAAAGTTTTAGTCTTCCTACCTTACTTTACTTTTTCTCAGGAAAATTAGTCAACTTAAGTTCTTGAAAATTTCCTTGATTTTCCTATTCTCTCAGCAGAATACTAGGTACAGATTTTAAGTTATGAAGCTGGCTTGTTTCTTTTTGAAAAATAAAATAAGATCAGAAATTTTGAAACATCGCAATGGAGATACGTGGTTTCGCACATTTGCCATCGATATGCTCCGGAACGTGGAACGTGGTAGGCAATAGGAACGTTAACTACAGTTAAATCATGCAAATTGTCGGCTGAATGAATATGCTTTGTATTAAGGTATAGCTAATTTGAGGTATCATCAGTAACTGAATATTTCCTCATCAAATTTTCTGCATCGGAAACAAAGATTCATCGAGTAGGTGCTCCTAACTTTTGTCTTAAAAAAATTTCGTTATTTTTTAAATCCACTCCCGGCAAGCATTTCAGTCTTTTTTAGTAGATATCAGTGAGGTATTTTTTTTTAAACTTGCATACAGACCTATACTCTCTTGTCATTATCAATACATTTATGCAATAATTAAACTTGGCCGGAAGTGAGTACACGAAATTTTTATTTCAATACATTTATTTGTTTACGACTATGATTTTCTGTTTCTAGGTTTTCCACATCTGTGACGGTGGTCGCAAGATCTCGTTCCTGTGTCCTAACGGAACTATCTTTCGACAGTCCCATTTGATATGTGACTGGTGGTTCAAAGTGGAGTGTGAAAGATCAATTGATCACTACGAAGAAAGCGCAGAACAGCTGGCAGCTGACCAAAAGATCTACCAGGCACGTGCTGAAGCTATCGCCAAAGCTATGAATCAACTCAGTGGACAGAAGCCCTCAGACCCACCGGCAATTCAGGCGGATGCAAGTTCTCCGTCAAACACCTCTCAAACAGACCAATACACCGGTGACGATAGTAAACAGCAGGCTCAATATTTCGTTGACAACCCGGGTTTATATCGACCTCGGAGTTTCGTGAAAAGCAATACAACACCATTCTCTAGTTCGGAGACCTCGCAAATCGCGAACTTCTCTTCGACTCCGTCGCCGTTCTCAAAACCTATCCACGTGGTATCTGCGCAAGAGATGGCTGCGCATCTGAATTCACAACGACTTCCTGAAAACTACCAATACCAACAGTCAGCCCAGCCAGGCAATCAACCCGCTCAATCCCAAAACCTGCAGAGTACCTATCAATACCAGCAGGCTGGTAACAACAATCAACCCACTCAATCCCAAAACCTGCAAAACAACTACCAATACCAGCAGGTTAATACTAACAACCAACCTGCTCAATCTCAAACTCTGCAAAGCAACTACCAATACCAGCAAGCGAGTAATAATAACCAACCTGCTTACCAGCAATCGGAGAAGAATAATCTACAGACTCACCAACAAGCAGGGAACAATTACCAACAAGCTGTGGACAATAACCAACTAAATTACCAACCACCCGTTCTTGAAGCAAAATCTGCCATAGGCTCCGGCGAGGTATTAAGTCCACAAATTGGCGTTTTGAACCAGCAACCCCAACCGGTTGCTCAATCTCAGTACGCAGCTCCGTTGGTCCAACAGCCACAACCCGGTGCCAATAGTCAGAATATTTTCTCAACAAGGAGTCCACACCCTGTGCCGACACACACTCAGGCTCAGTTCTCTCAAAACCCAGTGAACAGTGTCTCCACCACCCACGGGCCCCTTTACAACTCTTACACGTCCCCTGCGCCTCCAAGCCCTTCGTCACAGTACATTTCTTCTACAACAGAGCCTACATTCCAGTTCAACGACATCAATGAGCACCAACAATTAGCAGAAACAGCCGGTTTCGCTAGCAGCAGTGGCTCCGCTTACAGTCGAGTGTACCAACAAAAGCTGAAATCCACCTCGAGAGACAGTGCTACCACTCCATCTGGAAACGTCTACTACAGTTATGCAACAAACCACAACTCCGTAAACGAACCGGACAACTTCTCTGCCTCAACAGAGACACCCGTCTTCTCAGCAAAAGTGTTACCGGAGGAACAGTATTCGTTCGTCGAACTACTGAGGACCGTCCCTCCAAATCGGACGTACCACTTCAATGCCACTCCTACTGACTCCTCGGTCAGTTTCGACCTTAAACCTTCCGTGCCAACCGTGGCCAGGACGTCTCAGGTCAATCTTCCAGCAGCGATCAACCAACGTCTAGTCGATGATTTGAACTTAGACTACCCTAACTACTATCCAACGCCTAGTGGTGTCAGCAACACCGACCTCCCCTTGATCAATGGATTGCAGCCTTTCTCAGACGATATTTTGTTGTATGACACGGGGAAGAAACCTACTCCAACTCCATCGGATCCCAAACTTCTGCACTCATTAGCTCTGTATTTTGCAACAGCGAATACGAACGCTGAAGGCGATACGCCACCGACTGTCAGTTGGGTCAAAACTGAAATTACGACTAATCTTCCCGGTGATGGCCTTTCAATATCCGGTGTTTTCTCTCAAACTACTGCCACTGATAGCACAACAGCGGCATCAACGGAATTGACTCCTGCAGATGACCTACCTCCCCTGCTGACAAAAACCACGAAGGACTCGTATTCATACCTTTTCAACAAACGAGATAATAGCACGTATGAAACACCTTACAACACGTATAATACCTATAATTCCTCAGCGAGTGACTTAGATTCCGTTCGAACGTTAAAAGAACCGTCGAATAATGGACTTGAGTATAGCGAAACTCGAGGTTTGGTTCAGGGAGGCTCACCCAATACGTCAGAGGACAAAGTATCGTCCGAGACTGCCAAAATTAGAGACTCGGTAGACTTGAGGGAGCTGGCAAAAGTATTCAGCCGCGCTCTTTCAGCATACCTCGAGGATCCCGAAAATTTCCGACGCGTCTTGTCTGAGGTCCGGCCAACCGAGCCCACGACACTTGTAACTCCCGCCGAGCTGACCTCCTCGGAGGACGAAGTGTTGGCATTCTCCGAAGACACAAAATCCTTCCCTCAAAGACCCACTGCTGAGATCACGCCAACGGTCTATGGAGATTTTGCAAGCACAAACTCAGATAGTACAAGAAGTGAAAGTGGACGCAATTACAAATTTGAGAACAATAACAAAACAGCCATACCGCAACTATCTAATGAGTTGACCCCACCTTTCGTTTCCTATGACGGCTCTAACTCGCTGACAGACACAGAGGCCCCCATTCTTTTTGCCTCGGATATTAATAACTTTATCGGCAATGTCTCTGCCACAGGTCCAGAGTACGACAACTTGTCTCGACAAGGAGAAGCGTCCGAAACCTCCTATTTTCCCACCGCTGGAGGTGCAAACGACCAAAGCCGGCCACGCTACGGTGGCTTCCACAACAATTCGGCGCCAGTCACCCCCTCGTATTCACCGTATGGAGTTGGAGTTGCAAAACAGCGCACGGGTCAGCCCATATCTGAAGCAACTACCCCTCAATTTACGGTTTCCCCAATGCTGGACTTCACCGAAACTGGAACCGAGATTCAGACTACCTACCCCGCCACTCCTAATTCTTATGTCGGCGCACAAGACGTAAACAACCTGGTATCGAACTTCAACTACGATCAAAATGTCGACTACGCGAGCTATAACAACGCCGGTTTCACTGGGGCAGAAACCTCACCGACGCGCGCAACACCTAGTGGCAAAAATGAAAACCTTATCGCGTCAGGTAGCCAGTCGTTTGTCTCCAGAGACAACTACCTGCAATATCAAAATGGCTTCGGGCAGCAGCAGCCGAGGAATCAACTTCAAGGTCCCTCCAATACGTACAGAACACTACCCAAAGAAGCTGAATTAGACCAAACGTACAAGAGTGCTCAACAGAGGAAACCTGAGACCTACTTCACAGCAGCTCCCGCTTACTCTTCTCCACTGACACCCTCCATCAACGCAGCCAGGATAAACAACGAACTGCGGTCGTATTACACGCCAACAGCCAACGACGTGGACGCTACAGAGGCTCCGACGACCTTCTGGTCCTCAACGCCGTCGTCCGTGCAACCGACCACATACCACCCACCAACCACTACCGTCCTCAGAATGACTCAGTCTCAAAGGATGTCCGTAACGGTTAAGGGGGGTGGATCGCCGCGGATATCCAACGTAGCATCGCGACCGTCCGATAGTGTGCCGAGTGCCACTCAGTCGACGAGAATCACGTCGAGGAACTACGAGACACAGTCAACCAGGTGGGTGTCAGCGACGGCTAAACCTGATTATGGCCACACGTCGTTCAGGCGATACACGCAGTCGACTTTAGCGCCATCCACGGCGCAGTCTGTCTCCACACCCGTGCCATCCACTACGCGAGGCTTCGCAAACTCTTCCGTCGGTTTCGAGGCCAAAGCCAAAGAGATGTTCGGCAACCTGAACGAGACTTCTGCTGATAGACTGATGGATGTGATGAACCAAGCAGAGTCAAACGTTACATTGAGGAGGTAAGGGAACATTTTCGTAGTAGATCAGTTACACTTCTCTCAGGATCATGTTTAAGTAACCTAAGTAAGTAACCTAAGTAAGTAACCTAAGTAAGTAACCTAAGTAAGTAACCTAAGGAAGTAACCTAAGTAAGTAACCTAAGTAAGTAACCTAAGTAAGTAACCTAAGTAAGTGACCTAGGTGAGGGGTCCCGGCCCCTCCCCCAAAGGTTTCTGGCTCTCCCAAAAACGTTCTGATCGTATGTGCTTGCTCAGTCAGTATCAGTATCAGTAGACCCCCGTGGAAGGAGCTCTTGGCGTCCCCCCAAAATTTTACTAGTTATGTACATAGATCCAACGCACATATCGATGACCAAAGTGCGAAACCACGCATCTCTGTTTGCAACGTTGCAGCCTTCCTGAATACTTTATTCTTTCTCTGGAAAACCAGTCAACATATTCTCTTAGGAACTGTCTTGATTTTTTTGCTGTGTTAGCAGAATATTCTGTATGCATTTCAAGCTACCTATCAAGTTGCCTTGTTTCTCTTCGGAGAAGTAAAATAGTGGGAATAGTGGGAATAGTGGGAATAGTGAATAGTTGCCATCATTACATGTAAGAGTCGCTTTCACAGCGCTTTCTAGCGCTCTGCGACGCCAAACCGCCTTAGTCCCCCTGCCCTCCCTCTTTTCTTCTGGGACCCTTTATCACCCTTTGCTGGGCGGACCCTCTCATGAGGAACCCCATCACATGAATCCCACATGCCTAACTAATTTTCCTCGGGTTTCAGACTGGTGCTTCTGCTGGTGAACGACAAAGGCAGCCGAAACAAGAAGACAACAACAGAGTCCCGCTCGCAGCTGATCGAGGCCCTGCTCAAGACCTCGGAGAAGTCCTCCTCAGCCTCGGTCATCCACCCCAAAGTGGCGGCACCCTCAACCTCCGACAAGCAGACGAAGCACAGGAAAGAGCCCCGGCGAGACGAACTCGCGGCCCGGGCCACCTCCCGATTCACGGCGACCACCTACGCCCAGTCGCCCAGCCCCGCGTCGACGACGACGACGACAACGACGCCGAGGCCGACGACGACGAACGGCGACGCCTGGTCGACACGGACGTCGAGACGGACGGCGTCGACGACCACGACAACGACGAGTCCCTGGGCCAAATACCAGTCGACTAACGATCTGGCAACAGACTCGGATTCACGCGCCGTCGAGCTACTCAAGTCCCTGTATACGCTCGCCGCTAGGTGGGGCTGAGGCCCGAGTCCACGTCGAGTTTGAGCTAGTCCAGGGGTCATCTGCGCGGGAAGGGAAGAGTCATGGGTAATAAAGTGGATTGCACTTTTCAAAAAGGAACCACTAGCATTGCAATGATGCTAAGATTATGCAACTTCATTTTTTGCAATAAAATTGCGGAAATCGTGAAAAACTATGAAATTTAGATGGTAATTTTTGTCTTAAATTTACAGTTTTTATAGCGAGTAAAATAGAAAGTATTAATGGATAATCGGGTTTTTCCTCCAAGACAAAAGAAGCTGCACAATCTTAGCAACATTGCAATGCTAGTGGTTCCCTTTTGCAAAATGCAATCCGAGTCAAAGTCGTGTAAGACAATTTAGACCGCGCATGCGGATTATTTGGTGAGAAGATAGGTAGGTTACCTGGACTAATCCAGGTAACCTAAATGAATTCATCTAAATAAATTACCGGAAAATTCGAGGAACCAGTGGCACCTTTGGGCAAAAAAGACGCAGGGCCGCGCGCATACAATCGCGGTTCTTCATGTATGCCAGGTTTCAATGAGGTCTCGTGAAAGGCGCGTCTTTACCCCTCTATCTGTCTTACCTCATCCGGCTAAAGTCACGCCTTATGCGCGGTCCGAATTGTATTATTTGTCTATGCCTAAAATAATTAACAGTGGCGCAATGTGACTCAAAATCCATCGCACAGTTCACTATTTTGAGGAGTCTAAAGAAAGAGCATCGCACGTGTCCCCAAAAATTGATTGTTGAATTTTTTGAATGCTTCTTTTTTTGAGATTATTTATAGCGACGAACACCTACTCATTGTTTTCTAAAAGAGCAGAAAAATTTGACACTAGCCGACCTAAAAATTGCGGTGGGAACCGTCTGACAATCGGAGACGAATCACTTCTTTGCTCTCAAAATGAGAGATGCCGCATTCATGCTCTAGCTGAGCGTTATACCCAACGCAATTCAGAGATGCCTCGCCTATTTTTTTTTAATCAACAGAAATTGCAGTCGGAGTATCAAAAGACACATATTTAGATTACATTTTGTAATAAGGAACTACTATCTTTGGCTCTTCCATAGAAGCACCTTTCTTTATAGGGAAACCGACGGCATATAAGTTGTTTCTAAAATGAACCAGGTCTATGGTTCCTTATTGCTAAATGTGATCCATTGTATCCTCAGTTTGTAATGTATTTAGATCAACTAAGAGAGGCGCCTTTAAATTTTAATGGGGAACACTGATCAATGGTCATATCCATGCCCCATTTCGATCAAGAAAAGAGAGCTTTGGAGAGAGCAATGGTGCCCCGGTTCGCATTAATACGAATGACGTCATCATTCGTGTTTTTTGCAGGGGGACTATCCCCATTAATAACGTAAATGAGGAGGAATTAGAACTGGTCTATTCATTTTTCGATGCTCTGCAATGTTCAACTATCGAATAACAATTGCATGTCGCATGAATCTGAATCGTTCCATCAGATTTTTAAATTACTGCGACCCTTAAATACGGTGAAATTGCAAAAATGAGTCTCTCGGTTGCGGTGTTTCAAAAACTCTGCTCCTATTTTATTTTTTAGAGGAGAAAGAATCAACAAATTGGTTTGAAATTTTCACAAAATATTACTCACATACCTAAATAGAAAAATTACCAGGGTTTTCAAGAAATTATATTTAGTAGCCTGCCATCCAGAAAATAATGTATACGGCAGGAAGGTTGCGATGCTGCAAACCGATGTACACATTTCTGTTGTTTCACCATCAATATTTAATTAGCGGTGTCGCAAAAAGTATCATTTTCCCGCTTCCTTCCATAACAGAATCCCCTTTTTACAGGACACCAAAAAATTCAGCGGTGCAAACCGCTGAACAGGAACCGCTCAAACCGCAGCGGTTTGATGCAATGATGTCATTACCATGAGGAAAGGAGAAGAAAAAAATGGCGTGCGAGAGAAACGCACGAACATTGACATTTCGTGAGATTGCACGGAACGTGACAGTTAAATGGGAAAAAGTAAAATGTGCTTTTAGCGTTTTCCTACCTTGAAATGCTATTTTCCCCGTCCTCTTTTGCGTATTTTTTAACTTGGAATCCACGCATAGAATCTATTTCAAAATTTCTGCTCTTATTTTATTTTTTTGAAAGGAAACGAGGCAACTTTATTGCTTGACTTTTTGACAGAATATTCTTCAAACAGAACACGAGTGTTTCATTTTCAAGCAAAAATATTATGAGAAATCTACAACCTCGCAAATCGGTGTGCACAGTTTCCGGGTCATGTCATCTTGATTCTATCGTAAAATTTCTCAATGGTGGATTGCTGAGGTGCAGATAAATACTATTCAGTGGCGTGGCATGCTTTGCGATATATCGATCGATCTGCCATTTAAACGCATGGAAAATTATCGATAAACAGTGTGTTTACAACGAACACCTTAATAATTGATTCCTCAAAGTAGTTTTAAATGGGAAACAGTGGCGTGGCGTGAATTGCGATGTATCGATTGTTCTGCCCTTTAAACCTATGGTATAGAATCGATTCATAAGGTGTTCGTTGCGAACACCCTGTTTATCGATCCTTCGCCATAGGTTTAAATGGTATAACAATCGATATATCGCAAAGCACCCCACGCCACTGATGGGAAAATATAGCCAATCGATGATTCACGCCTCGCCACTAATACCATTTTAGTTCGAAAAGGATCTTTCTAAAACCACTGAATTATGCGACGTTGAGTGACTTTTTTTTAACTGCACTTAATGCATCCAAGCCATTAAACCTTAGTCAACAATATGCGTGTTTCGGTATACTTTCTCATCTTTTTCGACTTTTTTTTCCTTCTTTTTTTGGGTTCAGTCTGACCCAAAGTGGTGCCATTAATGAGTTCGCCCATTTCCCATTCTATCGGAGTCTCCCGTCCCAATTCGAGGTACGAGAGAAAGCAGGAAAAGAGATATATCAGATATAAGTGCTGAGTGATTTGAGTATGAATTTCTACAGTAGCACCAAATGGCACGGAAAATTCTGTACGATGTATCCTTGAACGAGGGGTCAAAACCTTTCGTGAAATTATACCTTGTTTTCCCGCTGTGTTTCCGAGAGAGTCAGGAGCTTCCCGCGCATATCACACACATCGACGGTGTAAGTCGGCAATCACAAAACTCGATTGCGGCGGCTGAAAATCTCCTCCTCTGTGTTTTTTTTTTTTTTTTTTTTTTTTTTTTTTTTTTTGAAGAGAACAAATTGACATCATTCCTTGAAGTTGATGCAGAATTTACTTCGCATAGAGAAGAAAAATCACGGCAGTTTTAAAGAATTTCCGTTGAGTAGTTTTCCGTTTGAAAAATAAAGCAGGTATGACATGAAGTTTGCGACGTCGCAAACCGAATTATGTGATTGCCAACTTATACCGTCGACATTCAATTTTTGCCATCACTTGAATTTGGGGATGCTTGCATTTTGATTCAAAAAAATTTGAGATACCAATCAATTTCATTCAATATTTTTTATCACCTTTAATTCCTATGTTTGTTGAAATGTGTCCATTGAGCTTGACTTTATTCATAGTAGAGCTTGATAAGAGAAGAGAAAGGCAAGTAAAACTCAATTTTGTACTTCCACTGTTATGCTCTTTGCAAAGCCCTTCTGTGTTTTGAACGAACTTAGCCCCGCATGAAGACCTCGGACTATCTCAAGCTCGACGAGACCCAACTTGTGAATCCATGACAATTCTTTAAATGTCTCTCCTCAAAGCAATTGTGATAGCACTAGGATGTTCTAGTTTAAATGTACGGCAAATTTTAAATCTGACCCAAAAAACAGCCTAATTTTAAGAACCAAGATGCAAAGACTATAATATTTACTCTGGATTTACTCAACCTTATTTTCCGGTTTTATTTTGATGCCAAATTTTGAAACATAAACTAAGGCATATATTTTAAACCGGTAAAATTGCAGGTTCGAATCCTTATCATTACCTCTGTCTGGTGAGCAACGTCTTGTCAAATTTATCTCTTATAGACGAGATTCTGTTTTAATATGATTAGCGCCGTTTTTTGCATTAAATGAAATGTTTGTGAGGAATTGCAATTATGGTAGTTCATCTAGTTTTTCATGGGCAAAAAAACTGACAAACTTGTCAGCTTTTCTTTTGCTGCATCAGAGTTTTTAATTACACAGTGCAGAACTAAATTTTAAACGGGAGTACATTATTAACCTAATATCGTACATTTTGAAACTTCCGGAAAGTCTGGTGAAAAAAATGCCGCTCATTTATTACTAGAATATCTCGTAATCACAACCCTGCTGCATTAGTTTTCCATCAAAATGGGATAGATCCGGACCTTGACAAGCTACATTTGCAGCGATCCCCATGAAGAGTATTGTTGGTACTCGCTAGTCAATTGTTAAATGTATCCTCCTCTAAATTTTGTAGGTAGAAAAACAAAATTTTTGGATCGACGGAAAAGCTGCACGGAATTTCGTAGTGTCGGTCATCGTATGAAAGAGAGAAGAAAATAATGAAAAATTCTGCCTCTTGTACTCGTTTGTAAAAGAATTACCTATTTTGAAAGTTATGTTACCAAAACACGCACAATAATTCCAAAGAACCGACAAATTTGTATCGGTGTGGGCAAAATTTTATCTAGACTGAAACTAACAGAGTTATATAGTTATCATTGTGCCAATGTATAAATTTGTTTCTTTTTTTAAAGTTAAATTGAATTTCTTTTTTTAATCCTGAATCGTTGACGTAATCTGTCTACGGGGGATGAAAAAAGCATCTTTTGATAAAATGTATTAATGAGAAGTTTGACGCAAAAAATATTATGTATTGAGAAAATTGGCGTATTAAAACTTTAGACTGCATAATACACAAATATGCGCAACAATTGCCCTCGTGATCAATGAATTTTTTTTTTTTCAGTTAAAGATTTTGTAAGTAGTTTCTACTTATCTCAGGAGCGGCAATCGCAATTTATGCAAAGCACAGGAATCTTTATCTCAAAATGCCTGTAATTAATCATAATTATAACTCCTTAAAATAAGCTGAGGAACA